GATACATCCTTATTATTAACTAAAGGCCATACTTTACTTAGTTTTTACCCAATGTCTTTTCTCTGTCCCAGGACTCTATCTAGGATACCACATCAAGTTTAAATTAGGTTCCTCAAGGCTGTGGCAGTTTGTCAGACTTCTCTTGCTTTTGATGACATTGACAGATTTGAAGAGGTCTGGTCAGCTAATTGTAGTATATTTATCCTTCTCTCAGAATTTGCCTTGTGCTTTTCTTATGGTTAGACAAAGGCTATATGTTGTGGTGAAGACGACCATAGAAGCAAAGTGCAATTCTGATCACATCATATCAAGGGGCCGTTCTATCAACATGACTTACCAGTGGTGCTGTTGACCTTGGTCACCTGGCTGAGATAGTGTTTCTCCGGTTTCTGCACTGCAAATCTACTCCTCTCATCCGTGATCCCTCACACTTCCCATACCCTACAGTTTGGAAAAGTCACTGAGCACAGCCCACTGTCCTGTGTGTGTGTGTGCTTTTTTTTTTAGAAAAAGATTTATTTATTTTACTTGAAAGTCAGAGTTACACAGAGAGAGAAGGAGAGGCACAGAGAGAGAGAGAGAGATCTTCCATCCGCTGGTTTACTCCCCAATTGGCTGCAATGGCCAGATCTGTGCCAATCCGAAACCAGGAGCCAGGAGCTTCCTCAGGGTCTCCCATGTGGGTGCAGGGGCCCAAGGACTTGGGCCATCTTCTACTGCTTTCCCAGGCCACAGCAGAGAGCTCGGTAGGAAGTGGAGCAGCCAAGACTCAAACCAGTGTCCATATGGGATGCCAGCACTGCAAGCGGTGGTTTTACCCACTATGCCACAGCGCCAGCCCGGTGTGTGTATGTGTGTGTGTGTGTGTGTGTGTTAAGCTCCATGTCTTTGAGGGTAGAGTATTGACGAAAGTTAGATTTGTCTCTTCTTTGTTTTTGTTTGTTTTAAATCGACTTTACTGCTTAGAATAGTTTTGGCTCACAGCAAAACTGAGCAAAAGGAACGAAGATTTCCCATATACCCTCTGTCTCCACACATGCACAGTCCCCTCCACTATCAAAATCCCACACCATTTGTTGTACTCAATAACCTACATCAGCACACCATCGTCACTCAAAGTTTCTCATCTACATTACGATTCACTCGGTGTTGTACCTTCTATGGACTTTGATAACAATACAAGGCCCTGTGTCCACCATGGTGGGATCACCCAGAGTAGCCTCACTGCCTTAAACATCTTCTCTGCTCACGTATTCATCTCTCTCCCTGAATCCCTGGCAACCATCGATCTTTGTCCTGTCTCAATAGTTTTGCTTTTTCCAGAACATCATGTAGTTGGGATCATACAGTAGATAACTTTTGCCTTTTCATATTGGCTTCTTTCACTTAATAACATGCACTTAATAACGCCTACGGTTGGTGAATGATTGCTCCACATTCTCACCAGCATTTGTCATTATTAGTGTTTTGGATTTTGGCCATTCTAATAGGTGTGTAGTGTACCTCATTGTTAATTTAATTGCAGTTTTCCAATGATATATGGTGTTGAGCATTTTTCATATGCTTATTTGCAAACTGTATATATTATGTGGTGAAGAATCAGTACAAGTCTTTTGTCTATTTTTTAATTGGGCTGCTCATTTGCTTATTGAGGTTTTTGTTTTAAAAGATTTATTTATTTATTTGAAAGTCAGAGTTACACAGAGAGAGAAGGAGAGGCAGAGAGAGAGAGAGAGAGAGAGGTCTTTATCCACTGGTTCACTTCCCAATTGTCCGCAATGGCCAGAGCTGCACTGATCTGAAGCCAGGAGCCTCCCAAGGGTCTTCCCATGTGGGTACAGGGACCCAAGGACTTGGGCCATCTTCCACTGCTTTACCAGGCCCAGCATAGAGCTGGATCAGAAGTGGAGCAGCTGGGACTTGAACCAGTATCCACATGGGACGCCAGCACTGCAGGCAGCAGCTTTACCTGCTATGCTACAGCGCCAGCCCCTTATCATTGAGTTTTGAGAGTTATTGGTAGGGGCTGACATAGTGTAGCAGGTAAAGCTGCCACCTGCGATGCCAGTATCACATATGGGCACCGATTCATGTCCCAGCTGCTCTACTTCTGATCCAGCTCCCTGCTGGTGGCCAGGGAAAAGCAACAGAAGATATCCCAAGTGCTTGGGCCTCCCACGTGAGAGACCCGGATGAAGCTCCTGGCTCCTGGCTTCAGCTTGGCCCAGGGCTGGCTAATGTGTCTATCTGGGGAACTGGGGAATGGGCCAGTGGATAGAAGATATTTCTCTCTCTCTCTCTCTTTCTCTCTCTCTCTCCCTCCCTCCCTCCCTTCCCCCATCCCCCATCTGTGTGTGTCCTCTCTCTGTAACTGTAACTTTCAAATAAATAAATATTTTTGAAAAAAGTTATTGGTATATTTCAGATAACAGCTCTGTATCACATGATTTTTGAAAAATTTTTTCCATCCACTGGTTCACTCCTGAAATGGCCACAACAGCCGGGTCTGGGTCAGGCTGAACCCAGGAGCCTGGAGCTCCATCCGGGTCTCAAATGTGGCTAGCATGAGCCCAAGCACTTGGGCCATCACCTGTTGCCTTCCAGGCACATTAGCAGAGTATCAGAATCATAAGCAGAGTAGCTACAACTCAAACTAGCACTCCGATACAGGATACAGATCTTCCAAGTGGTGGCTTAACCCACTGCACTACAAGCGCCTGTCCCCAGAGGAGGTTTCTTGGTTTTCTAAAAAGATTTATTTATTTATTTGAAAGGCAGAGCTACAGAGAGAGGGAGAGACATAAACAGAGAAATCTTCCTTCTGTTAGTTCACTCCCCAAACGGCAGCAACGGCAGGGGCTTGGCCAGGCTGAAACCAGGAGCCAGGAGCTTCATCCGGGTCTCCCACATGGATGATAGGGGCCCAAGCACTTGGGCCATCCTCCACTATCCTCCCAGGCACGTTATCAGGGAGCAGGATAGGAAGTGGAAAAGCGGAGACTGCAACCGATGCTCACATGGGCTTCCAGCATCGCTGGCGGTGGCTTAACCTGCCATGCCACGATGCCAGCCTTCAAGAGGAGGTTTTTAATCAAGAAAATCAGATGATCAGATTCGGGTTTAGGAGGAAAACTGCAACAGCAATGTGAATGATGGGCTAAAGGAGGGCAGGTGATCAAAACACCAGATTAAATGCTCTTGGGGCGTATTAGGCCAGAGATAAAGGCCTGGACGAGGTAAGTAGCCCTGTAGGGGTGAAAGAGAGAGGACAGGATGCCAGCAGTGCAGGAAATGAGTCCATGGTCACTGTTATTGAGACACCACATGCAAGGTGATCAACAGCCTGAGAGAATTTTTAGTGAAGAGTTTTGATGGCAGCTGGAGTTAAAACACTGACTGTTGTAAGCTGGCACCTGGGAGGTGAAGCCGTAACAGGGGCTGGGATCATCCAGGGAGAGCATGCAGTTGAAGAAGAAGGGGAACAAGTGCAAAAAAACTCTAGGAACACAAACTATATGGAGCAATATGTGCCAGGTTCCCTATCAGCACATGCATGAAATGGAACTGGAATGTCCTGGAACATCCATGCGTTTGCCTACACTAGTTCAAGCACCGGCAAATAATCAAGAACACATTTGGGTACAGCTTTCTCTTTTTATGTAATTTAGAAAATATTCCATGTGGTTATTAGAAAGGCACAAGGTTCATTCAAAAATGTATAAAGCATGCCAATGTAATTTTTGTGAATATTTTATGGTAGCAATAAAAAAGTTTTTTTTTTCAGATGACAACAAATCTATTGTTCAGAGCAGGAAGCAAAGAAAATATTGAGTTGGAAGGTTAAGAGTAGAACAATTCTTGGGACTGGTGCTGTGGCATAACAGATAAAGCCGCTGCCTGCAGTGCTGACATCCCATATGGGCACTGGTTCAAGACCCAGCTGCTCCACTTCTGATCCGGTTCTCTGCTGTGGCATGGGAAAGCAGTAGAAGATGGCCCAAGTCCTTGGGCCCCTGCACCCACGTGGGAGACCCGGAAGAAGCTCCTGGCTCCTGGCTTCGGATCGGCGCAGCTCTGGCCGTTGCAGCCAATTGGGGAGTGAACCAGCAGATGGAAGACCTCTCTCTGTCTCTGCCTCTCCTCTCTCTGTGTAACTCTGACTTTCAAATAAATTAATTAATTTAAAAAAGAGTAGAACGATTCTTTTAAAAAATTTTTAATTTTTGCAATATTTAAGACATTCAAGAATGCTGAATTAGAAGTCATAAGAATGTCTTTTGTCGCCTATTCAAATGAGAGCTGTCAAAGTTTCACATTGAGATGCTATCTTCTTTGAGCTTGTTTTTATGGGTTGACCCTATGAATCCTCTGGAGCATAGAATCTGTAAGGAGCATTCAAAAAGTTCCCGGAAAATGTGCTCTGTGGAAAAAAATGCATGAATTTCAAAATAAGCTTTGCACTTAAATAAACTTATCTTTTTCCAAAAAAAAAAAAAAAGAGAGAGAGAGAGATTTATTTGTTTGAAAAGGCAGAATTAGAGAGAGAAATCTTCTACCTACTGGTTCTCTCCAAATGGCCACAACGGCCAGGGCTAGGCCAGACTGAAGTCAGGAGCCAGGAGCTTCTTCCAGGTCTCCCATGTGGGTGCAAGGGCCCAAGCACTTGGGCCATCCTCTACTGCTATCCTAGGCCACAGCAGAGAGCTGGATCAGAAGAGGAGCAGCCAGGACTAGAACTGGTACCCATATGGGATGCCAGCATCACAGGCAGCAGTTTAACCAGCTATACCACAATGCCAGCCTCTAAATTTACCTTTTAATTCCATTTTCCATGAACCTTTTGAAGTACCCTTATACAATAGAAAAAGTATATCATGGAAACAAACATTGGTTGTCAGAAAGCCCAGGATCCACTTCTGATTCTCTTACGAAGTGGCTAATCTCATGGCATTAGGCATTTCTGGGTTTCTGTTCCTTCATTGTAAAAATTGGGGTGGGATGGGCTGCCTTTGAGCCCCTGCTGCACCTACATGGCACCGAGGGTCAGGGTGCAGCACACCAGAGCACAGCTCACCCATACCTGGGGCGGGGGCAGAGCCGGTCTTCACTCACGTGACAGTTGAAGGGCTCAAGTGAAATAGGTGAATGAAGGCCATCCCATATGAACAACGGTTCAAGTCCCGGCTGCCCCACTTCTGATCCAGCTCTCTGCTGTGGCCTGCGAAAGCAGTAGAAGGTGGCCCAAGTCCTTGGGCCCCTGCACCCATGTGGGAGACCCAGAGGAAGCTCCCGATTCCTGGCTTCAGACTGGCCCAGCTCCAGCCATTGTGGCCATTTGGGGAGTGAACCAATGGATGGAAGCCCTCACTCTCTCTCTCTCTCTCTCTATCATAGACTATAAACTGAATGCTCGCATAATTTCACCTTTTCATTAACATTTTGTTGTACATAACCTATTAAAATTTCTTGGTGTCTAGATACTTATGGAGTGAACATACGACGTACATATCCATTGGGACT